AGTGCACTGAAGATGTTACCTAGCTGGGTAACAAAATGTTTGCAAGAGAACAACCAAGCTCAGAGAACCCCAAGGACTCCACAGTTCAACCCTGAACTACACATATTCTTTTCTTTAGACTTTCCTCATAGGAAAACTGCTCTAGTCCCTTAATTATGTTTACCTTTTATTCTCCAAATTTACTAATCAATTGTACTGACCAGGTAAAATACATGTTTGTAGTTCTCATGTCACTTTTTAGGAGATAAAAGTAAAGTTTCCTTCAATGTGGCCTTGAATTCTATTAACTACACAGACTTGTTTACATGGTTTTATTGGCAGCAATAGAAAAGTGGCTTGCCATTGCCTTCTTCAAGGAGAGAGAGAGATAAGAGAGAGACAGACAGAGAGGTGATAGATTCTCACATCCAAATACTAATCAGACCTGCTGACCCTCCTTAGTTTCCAAGTCCAAATTTGGTTTCTGCAGGTTTAGAAAATTCATTATGGTTGCTTTATAATGGGAATCAGGTGTGATTATCTTGGCCAACTACCCATTTTCTCAGCCTACCTATTGTCTCATAGGTGTCAGGAAGTGTATTTCATTATGTACTTGTTTGTTAGAGTTCCATTCTGTCTTTGCCTTTCCTTTAGGTATTCAAGGCAGCATTTCTAATGGTCCTTTCTCCATTTTTTTTTTCTCCCAGCACAATAACCCAGAGAAGTAGGTTGGGCTGAGAAAGCTTGAAGCTGAGTATCCCCAGTCGTACTCTACCACCTTGTCTCTATGCCACATTAGCTTAAATGGTTGTGAACCATGCAGAGTAACTGTAGCTCTTTGGAGAAGCCTAATTGTAAAATAAACTCTGGATATTCCAATCGAAGAGAATATCTGTAGCTCAGGGTTGAACTGCGGAGTTCTTTATGACCTTTAGGTTGCGTGGTCACATAGACCTAGTAGTCCTAAGGAAGAATAGTTTTCTGTTCTCCAGTGAATCCTGGGCTGAGTTAATTACCCATAATTTTCAACACAATTATTGTCCTAATGGTACCTAATTCATTCCTTCTGTTGTGGTTTTTATCTAGCCTTGAATATTTTTAATACAGGATTTATACTTTCCCCACCTGCAGTCATTCTATTTTCACTTGACATTTTTTTCACTTTTCTTTTCTCCCATCTCTCTCTTTCCCCATGATCCCTGTTTAATGCAACAACAACAACAACAAAACATATCACCCATATTCAGATCCTCTTATCACCCCTGTGTTGCCATTGTAGCACCTCCAGATCTTCACTCATATTAATTCTTCCTATTCCAGCAAACAGCATTATTTCTTCACTGTGGCTTTGGGACCACAGAGCTCTTATGACATTTGCCACTGAAACCTAACCATTCCAATTTCACCAGATATTTGTATACCATATTTGGTAGACGGTTACCCCTTCTTCCTCTTTAATACCACCTGCAACCCATCTGAGCTTTATATAATAATTCTGAAGGGACCTTGAGGGACAGGAGCTGTTTCTGAAGGAAGTGGCACCTATCACTTAAAGCAAGACTGAGGTTGGGTAAGTTGGAGATATCTTTATCTTTAAAGTCCTGCCCAAGAACTGTTTATTATTTCTCTGAGGAAACTGAAATTGAATTAGCTACAGAAAAGAAAGACAAGCTTTTACAAAAGTGGGACCTTCTTTCATACCTTCAGTAAGCATTGTTGTGCAGTAGTAAAGATGCTGGACAAGCACTAGGGAGACCCCAATTCAAACCCACCCTCAGCCTTTGAAGTTCACTTGGCCAATTTGGGCCAGCCATTCTCTCTCACTCTAAACAACCTCACACTGTCAAAGGAGAAAAATGGGAGGAGAAGTTCTATGCAGGCCATCTTGAGACCAGAACAAGAGGTGGAATATAAATCTAATAAATGTATAAAAAGAAATAGAACATAGCTAGGGAAGAACAAGAAACAAAGAAATATTAAAAAACAAAAACAAAACAGAGCATCATGGTACCACCCCTGAGAAATGTAAAGAAGTCAGAACAATGTTCTAAGGAAGTATGCAGACCTATTTATGAAAAAATTGGTGATTTCCAACAGCAAATACTGAAATAATATGACACCGAGCACAGAAATAAAGAACTTCAGTAAGTAAGAAACCACACTTAAAGTGTTCTCTGAATGGATAAAGGCTTGGGGAAATTGGATATCTGAACAATCATTTTGGTTCATCACATCTGATTTATCTGATGTCATTCTGTCTAGAAATAAGTTGTTCTAAGCCAATAATACTAGATAATATTCCAATTGCCCATTGTGAACAGGTGCTTGCATTCACATGCAATTTGCCCATTATGCATCTATTTCCATGAATCATTCACATTGTCATTGTTGGCTGCTATCACATCTAGGTTGACTCATGGAGACCCTGCGGAGATTTGTCTAGAACTGTGTTCCTACTTCAGTCAAGCTGCTGCTAAGCGTTGCTAAAGTGGCATCCATGGCTGTTGTTGTATTAACAATCTGCTGCAGTGCCAGC